CCTAGGCGAGAGGATCGCTTGAGCTGAGGATTTTCAGACAAGCCTGGGCAATATAGGGAGACCCCATCTCTAAAAAAAAAAAAAAAAAAAAAATTAGGCAGGTATGGTGATGTGCGTGTGTTCCCAGCTACTTGGGAGGCTGAGGTGGGAGGATGACTTGAGCCTGGGGGGTGGAGGTTGCAGTGAGCTGAGATCGCACCACTGCACTCCAGCCTGGGCGACAGAGCAAGACCCTGTCAAAAAAAAATTATAAGGAAGAGAAAATATATTTACTATTCATGAAGTGGAAGTGGATCATCATAAAAGCCTTCACCCTCATTGTCTTTATGCTGAGTAGGCTGAGGAGGAGGAGGAAAACAAGGAGTGGGTCTTGCTGTCTCAGGGGGTGCAGAGGTGGAAGAAAACCCACGTATAAGTAGACCTGGGCGGTTCAAATTCATGCTGTTTAAGGGCCAACTGTATGTACATAATCCAGAAGGCTCATTTTGAAAGCCTACCAAGCTCTCTAACCATCTAACGACATCAATAAAGGATGACTTTTAATGAGTGACACTGAGAGATTGTCACATTGCATACCCACAGTCTGGCCAAATATAGCTACAAGATGAATGCAGAATGTCACAGCGACCCCTGGTATACCCAGTAAGTCATTAGCCAGTTTTGAAAATGAATCAGGTGAAGCCCCTGCACAACGGCATGCTGGAGGAGAACCCATGGAGCCCTAAAGGACTCACATGTCCACAGTCCCCTTCTCAGGAAAGCTATTTGTAGAGATTCTTTTTGCAAACAAACTGCCATTGTTCATGCTGTATGCATGGATGAAGGCAACACCACACTGGCCTCAATGATGAGAACAGGAACCCATTAGTCACGGCAAGGTCCCATGACCAAGGCAAAAATGACCAACTTTAAGTTGTATCGGAGGGAGGCCATCTGCTTCTGAAGTCACTTGGCATAAAACTCTATGCTGAGTAGGAGAGCTTCTGAATAGTTAGTTACAAAGAGACTCTCTTAGTTAGACTCTCTCTCTCTCTTAGGAAGAGAAAATATTAGGCAGATAGAGGGTGGGTTGCTCCAGCTCAACTGAGTAGCTGGGCCAGGTGTCCAGGAAGCTACTGGATATCCCTGCCTCAAAAACCTTGGGAGACTCAGAATGTATGCCTACTCTTTGCACAGCTTACTCCTTGCATTAAATATTTCCCTCAAAAGTGTTATTTCTGAAACTTAATACACAGTCTACTTTTGAAATTTTATACTTGTAGTTATTCTTTGCAGAACTCTTGGATATAATTAAGGAACTTTTTGATGCTTGCTATGGTCTGAATGCTTAAGTTCCTCCAAAAGTCATGTTGACTCCTAATTCCCATTGTAGCAGTATTAAGAGGCGGGGCATTTGGGAGGTGACTAGGTCATGAAGGCTTCACCATGATGAATGGGATGAGGGCCCTTATAAAAGAGGCTTGAGGGAGTTTGTCCCTTCCACCATATGAGGATGAAACAAGAAGATGTTATATACAAAACGCAGCAAGCCCTCACCAGACACCAAATCTGCAGATGCCTTGATCTTGGACTTCCCAGCCTCCAGAACTGTGAGCAATACACTTCTGTTGTTTACAAATTAGCTAGTCTAAGGTATTTTGTTAGAGCAGCAGGAGGCAGCATTAGAATCTACCATGTACTTAAGTCTTAAGTTTTGTTTTTACTTATTCATCTCTACTAGGAACATTGTGCAGGAAATAATGAAGAGTAGGATCCTTTCCCCAACCAGGAGAAGTTTTTCTTCTTCATTTTAATATTTCTCTTCCTAAGGACTTTGCTTTTTAATGACAGAACTAATCTCATTTGTAGTTTATGTGCCTAGCTTAAATTTACTCATTAAACACTAAAGTTGGAGTTGTTCTATAGCTTTTCATGAGCTGACCTTGGGCACAATTGCCCTCTTTCAAAGGCACCATGATTTTTTCATCGTACTTAATTTTCAAGAACACTTGACATGTGGAAGAGTTTAAAGCTGAGATATGAAGTGATTTCTCTAGACCTTGTTATTTAAAAATGTTTAGGCTGGGTGCGGTGGCTCACACCTATAATCCCAGCACTTCAGGAGGCCGAGGCAGGTGGATCACCTGATGTCAGGAGTTTGAGACCAGCCTGGTCAACCTGGCAAAACTCTGTCTCTACTAACAATACAAAACTTAGCTGGGCGTGGTGGCACGCACTTGTAGTCCCAGCTACTCAGGAGGCTGAGGCAGGAGAATCACTTGAACCTGGGATGCGGCAATTGCAGTGAGCCAAGATCGCGCCATTACACTCCAGCCTGGGTGACAGACTCTGTCTCAAAAAATAAAAAAAATAAAAAATAAAAATCTTTAAATATTTATGGTTAACACTCACATGCAATAAAATCTTAAGATATGCCTTATAAAGCAAAGCCACCAATTACTGAGTGCTATGTGCCAAGCATGACGTGAAATGCTTTGCTTGTCCTCTCTCATTTATTTCACACAGCAATCTTTTGAGATAGTATTATTTTATATAGATCTTGAAGTAGAAGGAGACAAATCTGGGTACAGGAAGTACCAAGGTGCTTTTCTTAGTAGTGGGCAACATCAAGTTATTGGAGGTGGAAAGCCCTGTTTTTGAGCCCTGGTTCTGGTACTTACCATATGTTCTGGTCATGTTCCTTACCTTCAACAAGGTGAGAACCTGGGCTTCAACTTCTTTCTCTGTTATTTTTATTTGAGGTGGGTCCTCGCTCCAACAGAACAAGTTCCCTACCTATCATTTCACTATTATAGTTTCGACCCAGTGTGCACATCCAACCTTTTATTTTGTTTTTTTGTTTGTTTGTTTTTTTGGGGGGAGGCAGAGTTTCTTGTTGCCCAGGCTGGAGTGCAGTGGTGCAATCTCAGGTCACTGCAACCTCTGCCTCCTGGGTTCAAGCAATTCTCCTGCCTCAGCTTCCTGAGTAGCTGGGATTACAGATGCCCGCCACCACGCCCGGCTAATTTTTGTATTTTTAGCAGAGATAGGGTTTCACCACGTTGGCCAGGCTGGTCTTGAACTCCTGACCTCAGGTGATCCCCCTGCCTTGGCCTCCCAAAGTGCTGGGATTACAAGCATGAGCCACCATGCCTGGCCCAAAGTATATATTTTTGAAAGGCAAAAACCATGAGGCAAGTTCTTAGGTTACATCCTTATCAGTTAATACGTCAATTATCAGTTAATGCTTTACTAAGGCACACTTGATAATCAGCTGAGAACACGAACAGAATATGGATTGGGCTACTAGGGATGAAAAGATCCTAGGGGCTGCTGGAGGACCAGTGAAGTTCAGATGGGAATGTGCTCAATGGAAAGACTTCTGTTAAGTACATTTGTCTAGACTCTGCCTGGCTCAGGATATGTCTTTGAAGCTGGTGTGAAGGCAAGGAAAAATGTTCAGTGTGTAACACATAGTCCCATCTGGCTGAAACATGAGTGAAGAAGTGATGAAGGAGAAAAACCAAGAAAGGAAACCATGGGGGAGGGCACAGGGAAAGTCATAGTGACGAGTTTGGACTTCATTCCACAGGCGGTGAGGAACCTTCCAGGGCTTTTTAAGCAGGGAGCCAGCAACATTAGATGTAGGCTGCTTACAGGATGGGGTAAATGGTGGAGACAGGGTGTGGAGGACAAGGGCCCAGGGTGTGGCCAGGAGGCCCTCAAAATAATCCATGGAGCCCAAAACTAGGTCATGGAACCCAAAACTAGAGTGGTAGTGATAAGAATAGAAAAAAGAATGTAACACTGCCAAGGACTTGGCACCAACTGAATGGGGGGAAGGGGAGGTGTTGAGAAGATGGTCAAACCACAGACACCTAGAGATTCCGGGCACTTATGAAAGTTCCAAGAATTTCTATTCTTCCTTTACCTTACTCTCCACCCAATCAAAAATACCTAACTTGGCAACGTTCGACAAGTTGAGAGCCTAAATATGCAAAGTAAATAGGAGAGTCATCTTTGCCCATGAGAACCACAGACAGAAATCAACCTGGCAAGGCCGGGCACGGTGGCTCACGCCTGTAATCCCAGCACTTTCGGAGGCCCAGGCAGGTGGATCACTTGAGGTCAGGAGTTCGAGACCAGCCTGGCCAACATGGAGAAACCCCGTCTCTACTAAAAAAAAAATACAAAAACCAGCCGGGCGTGGTGGCGCATGCCTGTAATCCCAGCTACTTGGAAGGCTGAAGCACGAAAATCACTTCAGTCTGGGAAGCAGAGGCTGCAGTGAGCGGAGATCGCGCCACTGCACTGTCCAGCCTGGGCGACAGAGCGAGACCTTGTCTCAAAAAAAAGAAAGAAAAAGAAAAAAGAAAAAAGAAAAAGAAAGAAAGGAAGAAATCAGCCTGGCAGAGAAAAGGTGCGGGTAGTAGCGGTTCTGGTGCCCTTCCTCCAAACCTGTGAGGCCTGGTCTAGGCCTCTAAGCACCTCTCTCCTTGGAAAGGGGGTGAAGACGACTGATTACGAAGAGGCCTGGGCTCTGGTCTCGGTTCTGCCACTGACTGGGTGCCTCCCTTCATCGCTTATTTCTTCTTTTTCATGTTGGACCACAGCATTCCAGATGTCCTCTGCAGAGGTCGAACTGCAGGACTGCAGTATCTTTCCCTCTTTGCATGTACCGCTTTTCATATTCCCTGATTCCATTAAAAATATTATCCTCTCTCGTGTTCTAATCTCATTTTTTATGAAGCATAGCACCCTTTCAGGAATGGGAGCGGAGGCCTGGATATCTGGGTCTGGGCTTGGGCATCCAGACAAAGCCAACCGCCTCCTCCTTGGGCATCTCTTCTCTGCCCACCAGCGCGGCTCTGCCTACCCGACTGCAGCCACCGTCGTTGCCACGGCAACCGGCGGGCGCCCACGCCTGCCTTGGGACCCAGGGGCCACAGCCCCGCCCCGCCCCGCCCCGCGCTCTTGGCGGCGGCACCTGGTCGCGCGGGGGCGGAGGGTGGGGGCGGGGAGGCGCGGTCGCTAGGGAAACCAGAGGACGCCCGGTAGCCGCCCCCACCGCCCCCGCCCCAGGCAAGGCTGGTCGGCGCCGCGGAAAGCAGCCTCGGGGAAGCAGGAGGAAGAGGGGCAGGTTTAGGGAGCGAAGAAGCGAGAGGAGGACGAAGAAGAGGCGCTTAGGCCAGTCCCCGCGCAATTAATGGGCAGCTCCTGCGCCGTGGACCGGCCCGCCCGCCCTGCCCCTCGACCCCTTTAGCCCCGGCAGGGGAGGAAGGGCAGACCCCCAGGTAACGGCCCACTCGCCCCCGCCGCTCCTCTCCGTCCTGCCAGGATGGGAGACGACCTTCCCTTTCGTCTTCCAAGATTCTGGAGGGAAACCGGGCCTGACATCCGGTGGCCTGGCCGTCCCCTCCCCCCGGCTGACCCCAGCCCCAGCTTTTTTCTGTCTCAAAGGGGCAGGTTTGGGGGAGACCGTGACCCTTTGTTCACTGGCAGCCGCCCGCACCCACCTTTCTTCCTGCAGACGCCACTGGTCAGAAAAGGTATACGCAGACCATGGCCCCTTAGGCTTCTGAGTGCGCAATGGTTGATACTGGTTTTGTTTGTTTTTGAGGATTCTCGCTGTGTCTCCCAGGCTGGAGTGCAGCGGTGCAGTCACGGCTCACTACAGCCTCGACCTCCCAGGCTCAAGCGATCCTCCCGCCTCAGCCTCCCGGTGGTACCTGGGACCACAGGTCACCACCATGTCTGGCTAATGTTTTAAATTATTTGTAAAGAAGGGGTCTGGTTATGTTTCCCTGGCTGGATATTGTTATTAATGATGGCACTGAATTGCTTGTCAAACCTGTGACATTTCCTCCCCCAAAGTTTCCCGATTGCTCGAGTTTCTCCTCTCTTCTGGGCTTGATAGTCGGAATGTGACCGCCTGTCTTTCCTAGTTTCACAGCAAAATGAGGAATCACCGCCAAAAACAAGTCTGTTCCCCCGCCTCGGCCCCGCCCCAACTCTTAAGCCAAACTGGCTGGAAGAGTTGAAAGATCTCCTTACCTTTCCCAACCAATTCCCCCTTTTTCTCTGCAGTCACAGTCTTCGTAAATTGGGCCCAAACCGTAAACTTTGTTGCTTATACTCAAGACATGTTTATAAGCTAAGATTTCAAAATGCTAAGTTTTTTTAAAAGCTAAGATTTAAATCCTATAATGTTGGACATTACAAATTAATCAGTTGGGAGAAAGGTTGAATAAGGTCTCCTGAAATCCTTCTCCAATCACCTAATTGTGGAAAGGGAGTAATTTTTGAGCCTGGTTGTCAGGTATTAACAATAGCCATTTAGATTTTGTTTCAAAGCAACCTTCCGTCTAAGAAGGAGGTTAAATTATTTACATTTTCCTTTATTGCTTAACAGAATATTAACTGTAGTGATGTCTTTCTTTTATGAGAACATAGTAAGAAACCAATAAGATTTTGATTGTTATTAAGAAGAGTCTCCTTCAAATCGGTTCTTTTGACAAATGTGGTCATAAAACAGAAGGATGGTATGTATGCATGACTTTTTAGAGCACTGAAAAACATTCTGCATTCAGATTCTGTTCCCTTCAGTCAGGAAAACTTGGTTGGAATTCATTGGAAAGTTACACCAGAGAGGAATGTGTATGTCACAAAGTTCTTAGAATATTCCCCATTAAAATTTCACAGATATGTAGAATTTTGAGGCCAAGAAGAATTACTCGCTCTTGCTTTCAGCAAGGCAGGACCCCCTCTTTCCTTCTCCACCTGCCTCCAACTCCCTCCTCCTTTCTCTCTCCCTACTTAATATGGCTTCTTATGTTGATTTCTAAAGCACAGATTTGGCACAAGACATTATCACCAGAAAGACTTAAAACAGAAGCGTGCATGACCATGAGTGGATTTTAAATTAAGAAGCAGTTCAAAGGTGAGCGATAGAAGAGAATACAGAGGGCTATTTTAGAAACATGCGCCTTACTCACATTTTATTATCACCCCCACCCCAACCCTCTGTGTTTGCTGGGAAAAAATTCTTGGCTTCAAGTGGCCATCTGGTTGAGTAGGCCTACAAAGCTGAGATCCGTGAATTAAGCATTATCTCATGTAGTTTTATTTCCATACTGTTATTTCTGTTTCTTGTTCATCCTGGTCAGTTTTTCAGACTGACTGAGTGCGGTATGAAGTTCAAGCGAACACGGAGAATGTTTGCTTAAACCAACGTAACCCACCATCTTCTTGGTCTTAACACTAATACCCTGTTTTCTTTGTTCCTGTAATATTCGTTTAATCTCATAAAGACTTGATGTATTTAAATAAAAAATTACTTGTGGCACCACGATGTTTCTAAATATTGTAAAATACAATGTAATAGAGAGTTTTGGGGAAGGAAAAGAGACTTTTGTAGGCAACTTTATTTTTATTACTTTATTATTATTATTATTATTATTTATTTTGGGGGGGATGGAGTGTCCCTCTGTCACCCAGGCTGGAGTGCAGTGGTGCCATCTTGGCTCACTGCAACCTCCACCTTCCAGGTTCAAGTGATTCTCCTGTCTCAACCTCCCAAGTAGCTGGGACTGCAGGAGCACACCACCATGCCCAGCTAATTTTTGTATTTTTAGTAGAGGTGGGGTTTTGCCATGTTGGCCAGGCCGATCTTGAACTCCTGACCTCAAGTGATCCACCCACCTCGGCCTCCGTAAGTGCTGGGATTACAAGCATTTTTAAGTCCTTTATTTGGTAGGTGATTGTGAAGTCAGAGGTAACTTAGCAAATAATTCAAAGGGTGCTACTTCCTACCTATTTAGACAAAGTTATTTCATGCCTCTTGACTTAGAAGCCTCCTTAAATTAAACCCTACTCTAAAGCCGTGATAGATTAACTGGCTTTCTATATTAACTTTGGCAACGAAAATGTATCATCCGAGTGGACTCTGGGATGCTCCCCTTTAGTGACCATTAACATATTTTTATTATGAGTCCTTATGGTCTCTGCCTGATTAAGATTCTGACAGGCTTCTCTTTCCCACAGTAGCAGCAGGAGCTTATCCTTCTGCCTGTTTTAACACCATCGTTTTCTGAAAAGAGTGGAAAGGTAACTTCATTTTATGCAGGTACACATTCAGATGAAAAGCTAAAAGTGATCTTTTAAAACATAATCCCATGTGATTATTAAAATGCTCAGAGACAAAATGTAGGTTCTGTGCGTAGACTGGAAATACACATTGTAGTTTCAGATTCTGACTGTCAAAGACCAACTTTCCATACTCCAGAGAAAACAGCCCCCAAGAGACCAGCACAAGTTTTCCCCATTGTTCAGGGCCAGACGATAAACCATGTGAGATTTCATAACTACCAGACCAGACGCTGGGTCACCATGAGTCAGGGGCAGCCTGACTCTGCCAATATCTACACAACTGAATAAACAGGAGGAGGGAGGGAAAGCCACAGAATATATACACCTGAAGGTAGAGATGTTGCCTGTCCCATCCTGATGTTTCCCCAGAGCCTAGCAGCCGTTGTCACACAGCAGTTGTAAAAAATATGTATATGTGTGTGTGTAGATATAAATGAAAGAGCTTCAGTAGACAACAAGCAGGAATAGTGTAGGGACTTCGATGACCCCATAGATAAGGGGTCTTTATTAACAGTGCCATTTAATCCCTTTGTGAGCTTCGCTATCTTGGCCATAAATTTGGGCCATGCCAGTCAAAGCTAAACTTCTTGAAAGCATGATCTCCACGCCTTTACCTCCCATTTACGCAACCTTCTGCAGCCCTCCCAGCCCCGTCACTCCACTGAATGCTCTCACCAAGGTTATTAATAGCCTCCTTTTTGAAACCTCCTCAGCATCTCTGAAACGGCACCCACCTGGTTTCTTCCTGCCTCTCTGGCTTTTTTTTTTTTTTGTGTGTGCAGAGTTTCTCTTCAGCGGCTTGTTCTCTAAATATTGGTGTTCTTCACGGTTTTGTCCTGTGTCCTCTTTCTCTTTTCATTCCCATTGTTCCTTCAACTTCAGTTATCACAGAATCCCAGCAATGCCCAAATCTGTACCTCTCTGGTCAGCTCTAGAGCCCTGTGTCTGACAGTGCACTTGACATCTCCATTTGCCACACCCGAGACACTTGTCACGCCATGCTGTTTCCTCACAAAGCAGCTCCTCCTGTGTTTTCTGAAGGGAATGCTGGCACCAACCAACTGGCTGCTCAAGCCGGTAACCTGGGCATCCCTGAGACTTCCACCCCTGGTCCATTCATATAATCGCAAGCCCTGATGACTTTCTCTCCTGAGCGTCCCTTGAATCCCTTAGGTAAGAGTGTGGGCACTGGAGCACGACTCTCTGGGTTCGCATCCCAACTCTCCCACTCACTAGCTCTGTAACTTTAGGCAAGTTACTTAACCCCTTTGGCCCTCAGTTTCCTCACCTGCAAAATAGAGATCTAGCTCCGGCCTCACAGCGTTGTTGAGAAGATTGAATGAGTTAATTGATATAACTGCTTAGAACAAGGCCTATCCCTTCCAGAGGCTCAGTAAAGAGTAACTATGGGCCCAGCCCAGTGGCTCACACCTGTAGTCCCAGCGCTTTAGGCTGAGGCAGGTGGATCAACTGAGGTCAGGAGTTCAAGATGGCCAATATGGTGAAACCCCATCTCTACTAACAATAAAAAACTAGCCGGGCATGGTGCACGTGCCTGTAATCCCAGCTACTTGGGAGGCTGAAGCAGGAGAATTGCTGGAACCTGGGAGGTGAAGGTTGCAGTGAGCCGACATAGCCCCACTGCACTCCAGCCTGGGTGACAGAGCAAGACTCCGTCTCAGAAAAAAAGAGTAGCTATGATCCCCTCTCCCTCCCCATTCTCCTCCTCCTCCTCCTTTTTCTCTCCACTGTTGCTACCCAATGCTGGTTTTCATCTTATTACATCTAGATTACTATGAAATATTCTCACTTACGTTTTTTACTCTACCACCATCCCCCGCACCCCATCCATTCTCATACTGCAACTGGAGGGATCTTTTTAAAATACAAATCTTTTTTTTTTTTTTTTTTTTTTAAATACAGACAGGGTCTTGCTCCGTTGCCCGGGTTAGAGTGCAGTGGCATGACCATGGCTCACTGCAGCCTCTAACTCCTGGGCTCAAGCGATCCTCACACCTCAGCCTCCTGAGTGGGTAGGACTCCAGGCATGCATCACAATACCTGGCTAATTTTCAATTTTGTTTTTAATAGAAACGGGCTTGCTATATTGCCAAGGCTGGTTTCAAACTTCCCGGCTCAAGTGGTGATCACCTCGGGAGACGTGAGCCACTACACCCAGTGAGTTATGATCACACCACTACACTCCAGCCTGGATGGCAGAGCAAGGTCCTATCTCTAAGAAAAAGAATTAACAAATAAATAAAAACACAAGACCAGGCGCGGTGGCTCATGCCTGTAATCCCAGCACTTTGGGAGGCCGAGGCGGGCAGATCACGAGGTCGGGAGATCGAGACCATCCTGGCTAACATGGTGAAACCCCGTCTCTACTAAAAATACAAAAAATTAGCCAGTCCCAACTACTCAGGAGGCTGAGGCAGAAGAATAGCGTGAACCTGGGAGGCGGAGCTTGCAGTGAGCCAAGATTGCGCCACTGCACTCCAGCCTGGGCGACAGAGCAAGACTCCGTCTCAAAATAAATAAATAAATAAAATAAAATAAAAAACACAAATCTAATCATTTACTCCTCAGATTGGAACTTTTCAGTAGTTTTTTATGACTCTTTGAATCATGACGTTCAAGGCCCCACAGGAGCTGGTCCCTGCCTCCCCTGCAGCCCTTCCGGGGCTGTTCCCGCCTCATCTCTGCTCCAGCTGCACTGCTCCCCTCCCGTCTTCCTCATCTGCACCTGCCTCTTCATGCCTGAAGCCTCTGCACCTGCTGTCCTCTCTGTTCTACTTCTCAGCTAGCTCACTCTGTCAAACCCAGTGTCATTGCCTAAGGAAAACCTTACCTGACCCCTCCAGACCAGGTTATGCCTTCCCATAACACCACTCTCAAAGAGCCCCATAGTTCTGCTCCAGAGCCCCTATCACCGTTAGGATTCACTTGCTCAAAGTCAGTCTCATACCCCGGATAACAAGCAACACAGGCCGGGCATAGTGGCTCACACCTGTAATCCCAGTACTTCAGGAGGCTGAGGCGAGTGAATCGCCTGAGGTCAGGAACTCGAGACCAGCCCTGCCAACATGACGAAACCCCGTCTCTACTAAAAATACAAAAATTAGCCAGGCATGGTGGCGGGTGCCTGTAATCCCAGCTACTAGGGAGGCTGAGGCAAGAGAATCGCTTCAACCCGGGAGGCAGAGGTTGCAGTGAGCTGAGATTGGCCATTGGCCTGAGCAACAAACGCAAAACTCTGTCTCAAAAAAAAAAAAAAAAAAGCAATGGTGAGGGTCGTGTCTGCCTTGCTGGTTGCTCTACTCCAGTGCCCAGCACAGTGCCTGGATGAGAATAAGGGTGCAATCACTTAAATGGATTTAAGCAACGAGAGGCCTGTAACTTTGGTCACTGCTCATTTAGCTGGGTTCTCAGGTTTTCCTTTTTGTCATGCTCTAGAACTGATTCAGGTGTCTGTCAATCTAACTCCCTCTGAGTAACCAGGACAAGATCTCTGAAGTGCCTGACGAAGGTGGCTGCATTATTTATGCCTGGAACAGGAGGACTGTCAGGGCATCAGCACCAACACAAGAAGTCCCTTCAGCTTGAAAGGAGCATCTGTGCCTTTCAAACAAGGGACATTAGATGAATACACAAATAAAAGCAATTAGATGAAAATAAATCCAAATGCGGCATCACGACAAAGGACTCTATCACAGCACATTTGTTTATCTTTTCTATGCAGGTCGGGGATTAGGAATCATGTTGCATGACGCAAGGGACAGGCAGAAGTTCTTCAGCGATGTTCAGTATCTGCGGGACATGCAGCATAAGGTGGACTCTGAGTATCAGGTAATTGCAGAAAGCAAGAATGGTCTTCTGCCTTCTCTTCCAGTATTTACAGAGAATTCAGAATACAGCGTCAACATATGATAAGCAGTAAAAGTTTTCTAAAATCCCAAACCCACCGATTAGGTATGTGACTAGCAAAAGCCACTTCACCTCTCTATTTCCTCGTCTGTGGAAAAAAAAAAAAAACAGGGATAGCCAGGCGCGGTGGCTCACGCCTGTAATCCCAGCACTTTGGGAGGCCGAGGCGGGTGGATCATGAGGTCAGGAGATTGAGACCATCCTGGCTAACACAGTGAAACCCTGTCTCTACCGAAAATACAAAAAATTAGCCAGGCGTGGTGGCACTGTAGTCCCAACCACTCGGGAGGCTGAGGCAGGAGAATCACTTGAACCCGGGAGGCAGAGGTTGCAGTGAACCGAGATCGATCACGCCACTGCACTTTAGCCTGAGTGACTGAGCGAGACTCCGTCTCAAAAACAAACAAACACAAACAAGGATAATGGTCGTATCCACTTCTAGTATTATCATGAAAATGAAATGAAATCAACACTCTAAAAGTACTTCCCTCAGTGTTCGGCATGGAGCCCTTGTCGACCAGTGGCATTAGGGCTTAAATTTGACAAACCAACTGAGAAGGAAGGAAAAGATGAAAGAGTTAACTGGTTCGCCCTACCGTTTGTAAAATAACACCGCCTTCTGTTGTCATCCCCACCGGAAGAAAGGTGGTTTGCACATTTTACAGTGAGCTAACTGCCGGTCCCCCTAGTTACAGTGTTTACATGCAACACCAAAACACACAGGGAGCCTGAGGAATCCTGAGGTTGCAGTCAGCCAGAGCTGGCATAGGATAAACTTGCCAGACTGGGTTGTGGGATCCTGAGAGCAGGTAGAAAGTGTCAGTCATCCCGCCGGAGGTGGGACCTCAGCCCTTGCCAATCAAGAAGGCATGTTCTCAGCCTGGGCTGAGAATTGAAAAGCGCTTCTTCCCTGAGGAAAACACAGAACTGCTGTTATCAGTTTTTTCCCCTTCTTAGCAATTTCAAATATAACTAAAGCTCCCAGGTCACCAAGGAAACCAGACCTATCTCAGTAACCTGATTTCACCTGTATAATACGGCTTAGCTTTGGGGCTGGAAATGGAGTCAGCAGTTTCCTCCCACAACGTGCCAACCCACGTATAAGAAGACTAGAAAATCAAGGGCATTTCTGCAAAATAAATAAGAACATAAACATCCACACTGGTCGCCCTGGGAGTCCAACTGCTTCTCACAGAGATGCCTCTGCCACCCGGCTCCTGTTTGAAATTGTCTCCAGAACAGGCACATAAGAAAAAGTCAATCTTACAGTTTTACGGTCCCCTTGAAGAAAATCACACAATGGTGTGACTTTGAGCCATTGCCGTTTTATTTTCTAATCTCCACTGGACTTTCAACACTGCCTTTTCATTCATTCATTCAGCCAATATCTATTCGGTGCCTACGATGTGCTGAACAAAGCCTCTGTTCTCCCGGAGTTCTTATTCTAGGAGTAAGAGGGGAAAGGGCTTACACAAGTAGACATGTGTAAGGTAGTTTCAATTATCGACAAATACAGTGAGGAAAATAGAACAGGTTAAGGGGTTGGAGGCGGTGCTCCGTTAGAAGCAGGGGAGGTCTCTTTGAGGAAATGACACTTGACTGTTGAGGTGAATTATGGGAAAGATCCCACCAGAGCTTCCCAAGTGGAAGGACAGTCAGTGCAAAGGCCCTGAGGCAGGAACCAGCCTGGAGGAAGCCAAAGGCAGCCAGAGGGGCTAGAACACATGAACCCAGGGAAAGTGCAGAAGCGTCACACTGCATCTCACTGAGCATAGCTTGGCATTTAGATTTTATTCCTTTTGTGTTTTTTTTGTTTTTTTTTTTTTTTGAACAGAGTTTTGCTCTTGTTGCCCAGGCTGGAGTGCAGTGGCGGGATCTTGGCTCACTGCAACCTCTGCCTCCCAGGTTCAAGCAATTCTCCTTCCTCCGCCTCCCAAGTAGCTGGGATTACAGGCATGCGCCACCACACCCGGCTAATTTTGTATTTTTAGTAGAGACAGGGTTTCTCCATGTTGGTCAGGCTGGTCTCAAACTCCCGACTTCAGGTGATCGACCCACCTTGGCCTCCCAAAGTGCTAGGATTACAGGCATGAGCCACTGCGCCCGACCCAATTTTATTCTTACCACTGTGAGAATTATTGGATGGTTAAGCGGTGGAATAGTATGATCTGATTTATGTTGTATTAAGGGTAACTCTGGCTGCTGTATGGGGAAAGGACCAGAAGGGGCAAGAGAAAAAGCAGGAAAACTTGTAAGGAAGCTATGATAGAAATTCAGGAGAGAGATTCTGGTGACTTGGCCCGGGGTGGTAGGAGTGGAGGTGGTGAGAAGTGGCCTGGCCCAGGAAGTGGAAGCAGAACAGACATCTTGCTGATAGATGGAGAGGCGGAGTGAGGGAAAGAAAAGAATGAAGGATGACTCACGTCAACACATTTACTTGTCCGTCAGCTCCCTCTGTTATCATCACGATTTTAAACCTTTTCACTCTTTTCAAACCTCCAACCCCCATAGTTTCAACAAAGAACTCCCTGCCCGGTTTCACACACTCAAATGAAACAAAATGAAGACCCCAAGGCCGGCAGGTGAGAACCCACTCAGCCGCCTCCCCTTCACTCCAAGCCACACACCATCTAGTCCCCACATCTTGGAGGAGGAAGTGACCCTCTTACTGCTGGTACCCAGCCTGAGATCCTGATTTGAGGCCCTCTGCTCTCCAGCCCCTGCCATCCACAGGCCTCTCCTTGGTAGCTTTGACATTTCCTTTCTTGTTGGCTCAGTCCACGAACGTGCTGAAGTGTCTCCCATCTTAAGAACAAAAGAGCAAAGCTTTCTGTAGACGTCATGTCTTTCTCTAGCTGCAGCACTGGCTCCTTCCTGCCTCATCCCAGATGTCCCAAGTAGCCAGCTCCATTTCAGTCTCTGCTTCCTGCCCTTCCATGGATTCCCTGGCCTGCTGCAGCCTGACCATCACCTCCCCTCCCCTCTCCTGAAACTCTTATGCTAATGTCAGTAACCAAATTCACCGGGCTCCTTCTCAGTCTTTTTTTCTGCGGTCTTATCTACCTTTGACGTTATTACTCCTTTCTTCTTGAACATGACTCTTTGGCTTTCTTTTCTTTTCTTTTCTTTTCTTTTCTTTCTTTCTTTTCTTTCTCTCTTTCTCTCTCTCTCTGTTTCTTTCTTTCTTTCTTTTTTTAATATTTCCCAGGCTGGTCTCAAACTCCTGGCCTCAGGTCTCAAACTCCTGCCTCAGCCTCCCAAAGTGCTGGGCTTATAGGCATGAGCCTCCGTGCCCAGTCTCCTTTGGCTCTCTGATGGCACACTCTCCTGACTTTCTTCCTGTTTCTCTCACTTTCTTCTCCATTTTCTTTTCTATGTACTCTTCATCTCCCTGGCTCTCAAATGTTAATTTCCCCAGGGTTCCATTCTCAGCCCAATTTTTTTCTAGTTCACAAGGTCACTGTGACTCATCTCATTCTCTGCTATGGTTCAACCACCACTTTATACTAAGACTTGTAATTCTGGGTCTCCCCAGAGCATCAGAGTCATATGTGTATTTGCTAGTTGGCTATGTCTACCTAGATGTCACACAGGCATCTGAAATCAAATATATCCATGGTTGTACCCCCATGTCCATCCCCCTGCTGCCCCTCCTATCATCTAAGCCTTCCCTGGCTCTTCCTCTCCCTCCTCATCCCCATCCCACCAGTTACCAAGTCCTGCCAAGTGTACCTAAGAACTCACGCACTTGTGCCTTCCTTTTCACACTGTTGCCACCCCATGGTTCCAACCTCCCTGATTTCTGTCCAAGACCATTATAATATCCTTATAACTGGCCTCCTAGCCTCCAGTCCTGCCATCTGTCAGACTGTTTCCTTGAAACCTATCTAAAATCTAAATGTGGCAATGCCATTGGAATATAGGATACCCCTCTGTGCTTTCCCTCTCTTAAAGGCAGGCTCAAGACCCAGAACCTAAGCAAGACCAACCTACACTTCACCACTTTGCCAACTTCTTCCCCCTTCTTCACTTTGCTCCCCTGGGCAAAGGTGGTGAGGATCATAGTTTTAATTTAGAACTAAAGGGAATCTCTGTGCTCATACACATAGTAGCCGTTTTTAAAAGCAACTTTACTGGCCGGGTGCGATGGCTCATGCCTATAATCCCAGCACTTTGGGAGGCCGAGGCAGGCAGATCACGAGGTCAGGAGTTTGAGACCAGCCTGGCCAACATGGTGAAACCCTGTCTCTATTAAAAATACAAAAAATTACCTGAGTGTGGTAGGAGGCGCCTGTATTCCTAGCTACTCAGGAGGCTGAGGCAGGAGAAGCACTTGAACCCAGGAGGCAGAGGTTGCAGTGAGCCGAGATCACACCACTGCACTCCAGCCTGGTGACAAAATGAGACTTCATCTTAAAAAAAAAAAAAAAAACACTTGATTGTGTTATAATTTATATATCAACCGGACACAGTGGCTCATGCCTGTAATCCCAGAACTTTGGGAGGCCGAGGTGGGTGGATCACGAGGTCAGGAGTTCAAGACCAGCCTCGCCAACAAGGTGAAACCCCGTGTCTACTAAAAATACAAAAAATTAATTGGGCATGGTAGCAGACACCTGTAATTCTAGCTACTCAGGAGGTTGAGGCAGGAGAATCGCTTGAGCCCGGGAGGCAGAGGTTACAGTGAGCTGTGATAGCCCCACTGTACTCCAGCCTGGGCAACAAGAGCGAAACTCCATCTTTAAAAAAAAAAAAATGTATATATCATAAAATTCAACCTGTTTTAAGTGTACAGTTTAATTACTTTTAGTAAATTTACCAAGTTTGCAGCCATAACTATCACCTGGCTTTAGAATATTTCCACCACTCTAGTAGTGCAGCACTCTTTTCATGCTTCCTGCACAGAGCTTATGAAACTGCAT